TGCTCATATCAGGCTGTGCCAACAACCAGCAGGTCTCCTATACATACAAAGTTGAGTTTTGAATTAGACATGTACTTTTTTTCTATAAAACCTACACTTCCCCATAATACTATCTGCATTAGTATTCCTGATAGGAATTAGGCCTATAAAAGTAGGTTCTGAAAAATCTCAGAAATAGCTCCAGAAGCAGTAGAGTTAATAACCTAGAATTTCTTTTACTTTACACTTATCTTTCTGTAGCTACTTTTGCTCATGTAATCTGGAAAAAAGCCTCTATTAGGTAGGTAGATGGCATATAATGATTCATTTCAAAGGAATAAAGTTAATGGAGTTACATCTGTTGAAGGCCTAAAAACTTGTAAATGCTAAGTATACTTATTGATAGTTTTGCAGAGACTGTGGGAAAAAGGATTCCTATACTTTGTTTTTAGTGCTGGCAAACATTAAGAAATAATTCTTTGGCAATGTAAGTCCTATTTCTTCTGTTTGCATATAGGCAAAGTGTGAGGCTCCAGCCTGAGTTCAGCACAACCAAGGTTAGGATGGAAACATGAATGGCAAGATGAAGGACCTGGCAGGGCAGGGCTGGCCCACAGTGAGCCATGGCTTGAAGATCTGAGTTGTGCCCTGAGAGGAAACTCATTGTGACCTAAGAAGAAAGAGGCAGTACAAAGTGGACCCAGTTCTAAGACCTCCTGGGCATAGGGCTTTCTGGTCCATCATGTCCTCTCTCTAGCCCAAGGACATGTCTGCATCCACGGCACAGAGGGTAAAACCAGAAGGTAGTTTCATCAGGAGTTCTGTAGGCTCCCCAGCACAAGCAGCACTATCTGACATCTAACAGGATGTGTCACAGGATGGAGAGTGAGGTGTTGCCCTGCATCTTCCTAAATCCCAGCACCCAGCTTTGGCATCTTGAGGGGACTTAGGAGAATGGAATGCCTCCTGGGAAAGGGCACCAGTACCTACAGAGACCACAGAAATGGGGAAAGCTGTGGAGGCTGCTCAGGACATCTCTTAGCACAGGAGACTCACAGAAATACTTGGGGAGGGATGGATACCTGGTAATGAAAAGGCTTGGTAAGAGCTACTTAAATAGGGGTTTTTATCATTAAAATAAACTGTCATTTTGAAAAGCCTGGTGAAGCCTGTGGAGCTTGGAATTTTCAGAGGAGATGGCAGTTAACACCACCTAACTGTAGAATTAGATTTTTTTCCCCATAAGTCAATGATACAGACATCCACACTGGTCCCCTCAACACTCTCTTATCCTGTATAGTAATGCATACTGGCACACAGGCAAAGACTGGATTGAAAAAGGAATACTCTGTAGACAAAGAACCATGTATTTATCTTTTGTGTATAAGAATTAAGCTAAGAATACTGGTATCGACGTTGCTAGTGTCATTAACTGATACAAACAGCCAGAAGAATACATAGCATTGTGTGTCATCTTTATAACTCCTGGGACTTCATTTCTGAGTCCTTTGCCACTGCTGTTAGGATCTAGTTTTACTAAAACACTCGAAATAGGAGTTTAAAGTAAGAAATGAAGTAAATCTGTCCTTCCTTTCTGTTCTCATTTTAAACTTGATTTCCAATAATGAAAGACAAGTGGGTGTGTCACATGTGTGCTAGCAATGTGAAACAGAAATGCTATTCATATTATTGGATTCATAACTGGAGTTTGATTTTTGATGTCAGCTATGGGCTTTCGACTCCTCGTCAATCAAATCAGCTTCACAGGTTAAATGGATTGTTTTTATTAATTTATAATGAAATAGTTTCTGAATGACTTAACACAACCTAGAGATAACATCACAATTGCACTGTTATCAAGTTTCAAGACCTGTTCATTTCACTGTCAGTTGAAATTCATTACCAGGTGAAAATTCTGGAGCTAGGTTTTGCACTGAGGATGGTACACAGCCACTAGCCTTTTTACTTTGGTCTTATTAACAGAAATACTGACTTAGTGAAATTACAAACATAGGCCTCTTAATAGCTTTTTACGAGTCTGAACTTTTGCTTTCAATACCAAATAGTATCTGAAAAACATGCTCACTTTTGTGCTTCTTAAGAAATTCTAAGAACTGGCCCAGATTCATGTGATAGTCATTTCTTAATCCATAGTCACCATGGGCCTCAAGGAGTAATTCTTCAAAAGAATGGAAAAGGCGCAGGTCCTCGCCATTTCCTTCTGTTTCCACGCTTTCAGCATGCTTACAGGAAATGTGCTTCCAATTGGGGTACCTAATTGTATGCCAGAACTCCTCACAGTGCTCTTTAAAACCCTCCACACAGATTATACCAGGCTTTCCTGTCATGCAAAATCCAGTCACATCTAACCTTTTCCCAACATCCAAAATCTTTTTCCTTAGGTCCTGCTGATATATATGGTGACTGTAGATCCACATTCGGAGGAATGTGTTCTTGACTGGCTTTGCTTGTGTAGATGGTTCATACACAAGCTTTCTATTCAGGAAATAGGATGCACTGTTGTCCTGTAGCCACTGGATTGCTGCACATATACAGAGCTCACCTGGATCAAAAGTCCCTATGTAAGAAGTGAGATCTTTGTTGAGAAGTAGCTGCTGATGTCTGTCAAGTTCAGATGACCGTCCAAACAGCTGCAATGCTACATAGGGGTAGCTGTGAGGCATGGTCACTTGCAAATCAATTTTCACCTTAAAATGAAAATCAAATAGATTTAAATACCATAACATCACATAAGCTGGTTTATCAATAGCAACTGCATGATTTTGAAAAATGAGTTATTGCTACTATTGTCAGCTGTGTACCAGGTACCTTACATACATGACTCCTTCCTTTTATGCATTCCTTCTTTCAACATTTATTGAACAACTACATGTGCCAGGTGCCCTTGTGCTGGGATAAAAACGTGAGTAAGCCAGACACTATCTTTGCCCTTCATGAAGTCCAGGGCCTAGTGAAGGAGACACACATTAAATAATTACACATAGCAAGTATTTAATTTCAATTATGAGAAGCATTACCATGGAAAAGTGGAGGGTTCCACTGAAGTGTGTAACCAGCAGGACAGATTCCATTCTGGGGAACCAGGAAGTCTCCTCTGAGAGAATGGCAACTGAAGGATGAGTAGGAAACAGCTAAAACAGTGGTTCTCAATTGCCCAGTCCACGTGTTACCTATGCTATGCTAATGTTGCTGGAGATGAATGGATCAGAAGATGGAGGTAAATTCATTGTTAGTCTTTAGATTTTTTTCATCGGTATATTTGCTTTCTTTGTTATGGTGCCATAAAAAAAACATTCACTCCTTAAAAGCCAGTTTTGTTGCAGGTGATACTTAGATTTAGGAAAATCGCGATACATGTGAAAGGTAGTTCAACTGGATGAGTGAACAAAATAATAATGGCATTATAAGACTTCGAGATAGCTTCAATAAAAACTCCAGATATATTTGTTAAAAGGTGTGTATGTTTATATAAAATTCAAGATATTTACTGAAAACAATTTATAGGGCATTCCATATCTTACTTTCAAACAAGTAAAGGAAATAATACACCTTGAATATTTCTATTTCCTTGACAGAAAGCTCATGTTCCAGATGTTTCCGTTAAAAACTACGCACCTGGCAAACAATTAAATCAGGGCACCTACCTTGGGCTCCTCAATCTGGAGTGTAATTACAAATTCGATTTTTGGTGGCAGCGCCTCCCTTGTGCCTTCCAAATACCTCTTGATATTTGTCAGGGCATTTACATCTTCAAGTTTTACTTCTCCTTGGTTAGGAAACATAGAAAACAGCATTTCCATCTCCAGTAGCTGAAGCTGAAGGCTTTCTTTCACTGAAGCAGACATGTCGCCTCGAAATCAACCTGCCTGAAAACCTCACAAGGCCCAGCCAGGGACGCTGGGTTTGTCAATGCCAGCGGTGTCCAGCGAAATTTCCCGAAGGTCCCTTTATGTGGAAGCAGGTCTGCAGGGACGCTTTGCACTGAGAGCTAGGGACACAAACCGGACACTTACACTCTTCTGCCTTATTTCTTCACTGCAAAATCTAATACTGTATGCATAACATCCCCTAAAACACTCCGCTAAAATCCATATTTCGCGTGTCAGGGCTCCCGCCTCCCACACTAGATCCGAGAATCTGCACTTTCAACAGGTGTTTGGAATCGTCCCGCTGCAGGTGGCTGGCCGACGCCTGCAGACGCTCTGCAAGCCTGAATTCTGGTAAAGGCTGGGGCCGGGCTTCCGATCCCACCCGGGGCTCGGGCTTGGGTGTAGCCAGACGCTGCGGCGACAGAGGCCGCAGTGACAGCGGGATGGGCTCGGGGTTCCCCGGCCCAGGCGTCACCCATAGCGCCCGTCGCCACCTCTCAGTCCCGGCCTCGCAGACTCCCCCGGGGTGGCTTTTTCGCCAGGGCCGCATCTCAGGGCTCCGGAGGTTTAGGATTCACTGGCCTCTGCCTCGAGGGACCCAGGCTGAGAGGGTAGGGGGGTTCTCAGAGGCCATTAAATAAAAGATGTCTACAGCGAGCTGGGGGAAGGGAATACCCGGGGAGACGGCAGCTGGAGAAGGCTTCCCGGATTCAAAGGTTTGGGAGATGACCTCGACGACGTGGAGGGGGATGCGGGCCGCCGGCGGCACCACGGTAGGCGAAGTCGCCATGTCGGAGGCCCAGCGACAGGGCTGATTCCCCACCCCCGCCCCGATCGAAGACCACAAGGAACCCCAGCTTCCCAGGGGCGCGGGGCCTGCCGCCCCCAGACGCCCGGATTTGGAGGCAGAGGCTGCGTCTCCGCGGTCGCAGTGCTCCGAGGGCCCGCAACCCTCGACCCCAACCCCCGGGCCACCGCGGGGGCCTCACCCTTCCTGGTCATTCAATGGAAACAGCCCCAGAGCCCGCTTGGAACCGCAGCCGCAGTTCCTCAGGCGCGAGCTGCGCGCGACCAGCGGCGGAGCGGGGGCGGGGCCGGCGGACCTTCCTCCGCGGTGATTGGCAGGGGGGCGTGGTGACGAGCCGGAAGCCACGCAGGGCCACGTCTGCGGTTGCGAGGGCCGGCCCTGGGTGCCTACGTTGCCGCTTGAGCGCTTCTTCGCTTCGTGGAGGTGAAGGGGGCTTCCTGACTGAGATAAGCTGGGCCCGAGGCTTGGATTTGAGAAGGGGGACTACTGGTCGGCAGGCGCTCGGTGGGAGCGGGACGAGTCGGATTCTCGGCCGGACCGAGGGGCTAGCGGGCCGGCGGGCTCCTGACCGTGCGGCGGAACGCGCTGGACACACCTACAGGTCCCTGAGCCTCGCGGGCGGGCTGGGCGGGCCCGCGGTCTCCGGCGGGGACCTCACGGTGGAGTGCGGGGAATCTGGTGCGGTGATGCCAGGGCAGGCGGGAGAGAGGCACCGAGGAGGTTTGAAGATTGAATGGAGAGAAGGGGATAGATATTCTTAACTTTCTTAGGGAGGACTTTGGATTTGGCAAATATGCTTTCAGTAAAGGCATTCGCAGCCACATTGAAAGTAGTTGTAGGACCTAAAACACATGGAAGGGTGAAAGCTTATTATCTGGACTTTTTTTTTTTTTTTTTTAACGGCTTTTTGGAGTTAACAGCACTGGCTTACACCGTTATGAATAATCATGACACATAGCTGCTCAGTTTTTTCAAGTATGTATTCATCCTTAGGAAAGAGATTTGATCACTGGCATGAGCTAAATTAGCTTGCTGAATGCCAGCTTTTTCCAGCTGGACAAAAGCAAGTATTTTTCACCATTTCTTGTAAATTCTGTTCATTGAAGCAATGAAGGACAATAAAGAAAACAAGATTATGAGGCTGCAGCTGGGGTACTGCTCCTCATCTCTGGGCTAATTGGGAATTAATTGACCCAGGAAATGCGTAGTATATGGACTACTGAAGGAAAGCTACTGCCTGAAGTTGAAAACCCCAAGTTCCACTTAATTGGAGTATCCCACAGAAAGCAGTATTAGTGGGCTAAAGGCCGATTTTGTTTTGAGACAAGGGTCTCACTTTGTCACCCAGGCTGGAGTGCAGTGGTGCTATCTCATTTCACTGCAACGTCCACCTCTTGGGTTCAAACGATTCTCCTGTCTCAGCTGAGATTACAGGCACCCACGAACACGCCTGGCTAATTATTATTGTTATTATTTCTTGTATTTTTAGTAAAGACGGGGTTTCGCCTTGTTGGCCAGGCTGGTTTCGAACTCCTGACCTCAGGTGATCCGCCCTCCTCGGCCTCCTAAAGTGCTACGATTGCAGGCTAGCCGGCGTGCCCAGCCGTTGTTTGGTTTTTAAAAGTAAAGGAAAAAAGTGGCATTCTTGAGGAAGAAGCTACTGCTGGTTTTAGAGAAACATTTTAGAAGGGTGTCCTGATTGTCCTTAAGAAAATGGAAAAAGATGTGGGTAGTGTTGGAGAAGAAACTGTTGCCTTTTGCTTTTCCTTTGAAAATATGTATCTGTAGCTTGGGAGAAATAGCAAAAGAACTACAAAGATTTCTCAGATATTTGGAGGTTTGTAGTTTCAGTCCACTGAAGAATCTGACTTTAGGCCTCAGTCCATCACCAGCTATCCATGTTAATTTAGTTTCCCCTTTTGTAAAATGAAATGATCTTTGAGCTCATAGGAGTCTCTGAATAGGTATAAAATCTTCATTTTATTTGAGAGTGGGCCATTTTAAGTGTGCCTGGGGTCCAGGAATAGTCTTGGAGTTAAAATGGGAGGAGAGTTGGGGACAATCTGATATCTGCCCTGTGGCTGCCCAGGAGTGGACCGTACAAGTTGGGCAAGATCTCCTAGTTGGTAATTCTTACCCACAGGACTTACTCTCCTGCCCACTGCTCTCTTAAACATAGGGTTCTTTAAGGAGGTTCAGAATGAGACAGACTTAATAGTTTGGGGTGGCAATTTTTGAAGCATATGGTTCTTGAGAGATTACTTGTTATGCCTGAAATAATATTTCTTAATTTTGTAGCTATGGATTTAGGTGCCGTTACAAAATACTCAGCATTACATGCCAAGCCCAGTGGACTGATTCTTCAATATGGGACTGCTGGATTTCGAACAAAGGCAGAACATCTTGATCATGTCATGTTTCGCATGGGATTATTAGCTGCTCTGAGGTCCAAACAGACAAAATCCACTATAGGAGTCATGGTAACAGCATCCCACAATCCTGAGGTAATGGTTTTAGTGCCCTGATAAAGGAGACCATCACTTACAAGATCAAGCCTTAATGTCTGAGCAGTTTGACCTAAAGTACAAATTCTAATTCTAGGAATGTGCCTTCTCATTTATATGTGCCTTTGAATGTGAAACAACTTTTTTTTTTAAAGAGCGTGATCATTTAGTTTGTAATTCCTTAGAGGGTGTGGAAAGAATAAAAAGAGACTGTCATTTTTTGGAGTGTCCATATTGAAGAAATAACAATGTCCTTCCAAATTGATTGATTTAAGACAAAGACATTTTCAGTAATTGAAAAGTGTTTCCTTTATTAAGTTAGCAGTGATTAAAAATATTGGGGATGGGTGGGGAAGGGCAGAGATTATTATAAACTACAGTCACCAGGCTGTATGTTATTCTTCCAGAACTTACTCATCTTAAAACTGCAAGTTTGTACCCATTGGCCAACATCTCCTCATTTCCCTTACCCTGTAGCCTCTGGCGGCCACCATGCTACTCTCTGTTTCTGTGAGTTCCAGATTTTTACCTAACACATGTATGTTACTAGCCTGCAGTATTTGTCTTCATGTGTCTGGCTTATTTACCTTAGCATAATGTCTTCCAGATTCAACCATGTTGCAAATGGCAGTATTTTTTTTAAGGTTGAATAATCTGTTGTATACATATACTATATTTTCTTCATTTATCTGTTTATGAGCACTTAGGTTGTTTTTCTTAGTCAACCTTTTGACACAGTGTTACTATTCTGTATGGCCTATAGGCCATTAATACAGGTTTGAGTAATATGCTTCTATTTGATTGCTGGGGGTGTGGGATGTTTGCCTTTGTAGCTGAATCAGCAGCAAGTTAAAGTGGGGTAGGTCTGTGAAGGATCCTAACCTCCTACTCCCCCAAATAAGGGCATTGCTTGTCCAAATGTGTTATCACTAAAAATGTGTAAATGTCTAAATATGTGAGTCACTGTAATTGATTGACTGACTTATACAAAGAGCCTCATATTTCTTGCTAGTTCCAAAGGCATTTCTCAAAACAATTCTCTTTTCTTTCAGGTGACATTCACTATGTGAACTACATTTTCTTTCTAGGAAGTTGAGCAGATCGGTGTTGGGAGCCAGTTTTCAGTTTCTGTCCCACCTGCTGGTTGACAAGCTGGCCAGTGTATTCTTGGAGTTCTGAGTCATAGTGAGCAGGGTCTCCGTGTGCCCTTATTCTGCTCCACTTGTGCCCTGGTCAGTTTATTGATAGTGAATGCACAGATCACAGCCTTTTTACAAAGGCTAGTGTGGTATAGTGTTGTTAGGCAAGTCAGATAGATTCGATGTTTTAATATCAGTACTGACACTTATTAGCTGTATGATCATAAGCAGATCACCTAACATAACCTCTCTCTGAAGCTCAGTTTTTTTCAAAGTAAGATTGGAATAACGACAGGATTATTAGTTTAATGTATGTGTATGAAGAGGAATTAATGAGGTAATACCTATATATATATATATATATAAAATACCTAATCCAGGGTCTAGTGTTAATATTTGGTGTTTATTGTTGAAGCTGCTTAGTCATCACTCTCTTTGGTTGAGGGGAAATGGCTTTTGAGTTCTATTCTCAACTCAGCCTCATGAGTATGTACAGATTGGTTATTGTTTGTTTTTCTTTTAAGGAGGACAATGGTGTAAAATTGGTTGATCCTTTGGGTGAAATGTTGGCACCATCCTGGGAGGAACATGCCACCTGTTTAGCAAACGCTGAGGAACAAGATATGCAGAGAGTGCTTATTGACATCAGCGAGAAAGAAGCTGTGAATCTGCAACAAGATGCCTTTGTAGTTGTTGGTAGAGACACCAGGTGATGATAAGAGTTACTGTTTAAAAAAAAAAAAAAAAGCAGCTTTGGAGACATGATATAAACAGTTGTATCAATTTTAATATCCAAGACAAATGGAAAGAAGTAAAGTAGAACTACCCTGAGTTGCATGTCTATCTGCATGGCCTTTTTAGTAGGATATTGTAGCTAAGTCACTACTGCAGCTTGGTGTTGGGAGCTGACTGGTTTGAACCCTCACTCCAAAACCTAAGCTATAGAATAATGTATGTAAAATACTTCCTGACACAAGAAAAGCACTTAATAATGTCTCCCACCCCCTCTGTAGGTTTATTTTTTTTCCCTACAGTCAGAACATGTGATTTGAACTCATTAATTTTAAAGATTTACTTTATAATCTATGTTATTGTTTCAAATATTTATATCATTTTCCCCATGCTGGAATTCACTGAAAAATACAATATTATTTTCCACATAGTTACATTTTGCAGCTTTTGCCAGCCTTAACAAAAATATATCTTTTTGTAAAATGTTAGATAAAAAGTGTATTTTGTAACAGTAGCATTTCTTCTTGCATAAGATCTAGTTTTAACCTGAGATTCTTTCAAAACGAAATTTCTGCTCAAATCTCCCAATGGCCTAGACTGGTGTTTTTTTTTTTAACCCTCTATTGTGTTACCAGAGGGTCTTCCAGATACTGATGATGGTAGCAGAAATAGCCAAGTGACTTATGTTCCGAAGTAAATTATCCCACCACAGTAAAGCCATCCCACACTATTAACTAATGTAAGTGAGAAAACATCTTTTCCTACAAGGGAGTTTTGTTATCTGTTTTATTTTCAGATAATTTGTTCTAACTTTACAAAATAGAAAACAAGTTCTATATCCTTGGTGGCTTAATACAAGTACAGTCTTATACACACCATGTATACTTAGTATTTATGGTTACTGTTCTTAGAGTTCAGACATGTTGGTGTGGTCAAACTTCAAGGTATTTGGGTATCATGTGGTTAGAGTGTTCTTTATATCTGTTCTCTAAATTCATTTAAAGCCAAAGTTTTCCCAAGAACTAGATTGTGAAAGGCTACTGGAAAATGCTTATAATTTACCAGTATCTTCAGAGTTTATAGCTTTCACTTCAGATAGAAGGAACTTATTATTTTGAAATTTGTAACATGTAATTTCTGCATTTGCTTGCAGAACCGGTAATCCTGCCAGTTTCAGAATGGGATATATTATCTTCTTCCTTTTCTTTCCTAGGCCCAGCAGTGAGAAACTTTCACAATCCGTAATAGATGGTGTGACTGTTCTAGGAGGTGAATTCCATGGTATGTGGTTATCCTGAGTTGGAAATTAATCTTTTTTTTTTTTTTTGAGACACAATCTTGTTCTGTTGCCCAGGCTGGAGTCCAGTGGTGTGATCTTAGCTCACTGCAACCTCCACCTCCCAGGTTCAAGCGATTCTTCTGCCTCAGCCTCTTGAGTAGCTGGGATTACAGGCTCACGCCACCACACCCAGCTAGTTTTTGTATTTTTAGTAGAGATGGGGTTTCACCATGTTCGTCAGGCTGGTCTCAAACTCCTGACCTAGTGATCTGCCCACCTCGGCCTCCCAAAGTGCTGGGATTACAAGCATAAGCTGCCACACCCAACCAATTAAACTAATGTTTAAAAAACTTTTAATTGACAAAAGTAATACATATTTATTTAGAAAAGTTTGAAAATACAGATGAACAAGAAATTTTTAAAAAATGAACTCCTAGGTACAAAATAACTTTAAAAATAATTTTCCAGGTCGTTTCTGGACAGGTGTGTTTTGTTTGACCTATGGCAGTACTATAGTAGATGACAGGTGGGAAAGGCTGAACTAATACAACTTCCTTTACGTTGGTAAGGCTGAATTTCCTCAAAAGCCTTTTAAGTACTTGAAGATGTTCATTGGGGGGAGCTTTTGTCAATATTAGGTCTTCCCTAATAGCTGCTCTCCTGTGAAATCAGCTGTTACCTGTCAAGTAGTGATGGGAAATATATTTGACAGGTAGTTCTTTCTTTTATATCAAATGGCAGAGAATCAAATGAGACGAAAGAGAATATGATCCTCCTCACATTGTGTCTGTTATGAAGGCACTGTCTCCACTAGGTTTTGAGGTGAATATTTTCCTAGTGTGAGATATTTCTTATTAAAACAAACATCCTCTCTTGACCTTTGAAATCTCTCGAGTTTCAGCTGTGTTCCCTTCCTGCACAGTTAATCTGGCCTCTCCTGAGGGCTCCCTCTGTCTACCTTCTCTGTTTCCTCTTTTCTGTCATTCTTCAGCCTTCTGCAGGTGAGTCTCTATCCTTACCTCTTTGTAAATGTCTCCGCAGCCCACCCCTGACATCCATCTACATTGTGATTGCCCAATCTGGTGGATATTATAAAGTAGGGATTCTTAACCAGGGACCTCTGTGGGATGTCTGGGAATGCTGCAGACGACCTGTGGACCTCGTGATACTATGTACAGAGTGTTGCCCACACAAGCACTTTACCAGGGAGTACACACATACTCGGCTCAGATACTCTGAGGGGCTGTGATCTAAAAACAATTTTAATAATTTATGCTTTTAAATTGTTAAAGTCTTTGTAGCTTTCCATAGCATTAAAGCTCTTTCTTTTAGCCTCTAATTGCTTGGCCACTATTCCTTATTGGTCTTCTCTGTTGGCTCCTCTCCTGTCTCTTTCCAGGAGGGCATTCCTTGGGACTCTCTTTCTTTCTGCATGATTTCTGAATGATTATCTCTACTGCCATAGCTTGAACTACCTTTATTCATTCATTTATTAATTCATCAAACGTGTTTTACTACCTGCAGTGTACATCCCTCTAATAGTCTATTTGTTTTGCTGTGTATTAACCCATAGTAAGAAACCCATTATGTATCATGATACGTCATGATACATAATGACATGTGTGTATAACTGAAATAGCTTCAGTAAACAACGCTCACCCATCCTACATGACATGCAGTCATCTGTTTAAAATGCAGAAATCCTGGTTGTGTCTCACCGAGTAAATTCCATGGTCCATTGGCAGTCTGTGGCCTGCAATTTGTAAAGCATTGATCTGAGTGATATCTTCACATAGATGTACTGCTCCTGTCTCGTGTTCACCCTGCCCCAAACTGTATTCTTTCTGTCATCTCCAGAATGGTTGTCTTTCTCAGCATTTTCATTCTATTGCTAGAACCATCAATCTTCTAGTGTTTTAGTCTAGAAAAAGTTGAGAGTAATTTTTTTAAACTTTTCCCTCATTTCTTTCTTCAGCTTAGTGTATTTCAGGAAATGAAAAAAGGTTAATGTAGCTGCAACATAGGGAGAATGGGGGCTAGGAGAAGCGAGTAAGGAGGTAAGGTGGGGACAGTTCATTTCAAACCTTGGAGGTCATGGCAAGGACTTGGGCTGTATTCCAGATGCAGTGGGACTCTCTGTTGAAGGATTTTATGCAAGAGTGATATGATCATATTTTCATTTAAGCCAGTCCCTCTGTTGTAGACAGAAGGGAAAGGAAAGTTGTAAGAAAGGGAAAGAGACCAGCTGGGCCGCTCTTGAAAAATTAGTATTGCATTCAGTGGATTTTGTGATATGTGGGGAGGACAGAATTGTGAAGAACACAGTCCAGGCTTCTAAGTTGATAAGTTGGATTAGATGATGATGCTTTTCATTGGGTATATAATACTAGTCATTTAGTAAATGTTTATTGGGTAATTTTGTTATTGTTAACAAAATTCTTTTGTGTCTTCCTTTAGCATGTCTTTTAGAATAATGGGCTCCTGTAGTAAACACTTCTGTTAAACTAATTTATGCTCTTATTTGCATTTTTTTGAGCTTCTCCATCTCCTCCCATCTCATCATCATACCAGAGCTAAGGTTGCCTTCATAAAGTATTTGTTAAATAACTTTAGGGCTCAAGAATTTAAAGTGACTCCTTTTTGCCTTCAGTCAAATTCTTGTGTTTGAGGTTCAGGTCCAACTGATAGGTTTAGTAACTGAATATTTACTTATTGGATACTGGTCCATCTTTGCTATCCATTTTTCTTTTTTTGCTCATGGTGCTTTTCTTATACGTTAGCTATGTTTAACTGTAAGCTGGTTTTCTTTTTTTTGGGATAATTATGGGATGTTTTTGAGGTTTATGATGAAGGTATAGTCTTTGGTAAAGTTCAGTCTTTTTCTTCTGCTGGGTACCTGGGGCACTGGCTGGGTTCACTTTAAAGTGATACATGACAGGCCGGGCGTGGTGGCTCATGTTTGTAATCCCAGCACTTTGGGAGGCCGAGGTGGGTGGATCACATGAGGTCCGGAGTCCGAGACCAGTCTGGCCAACATGATGAAACCCTGTCTCTACTAAAAATACAAACATTAGCCGAGCATGATGGTGTGTGCTTGTAATCCCAGCTACTTAGGAGACTGAGGCAGGAGAATCACTTGAACTTGGGGGGTGGAGGTTGTAGTGAGCTGAGATTATGCCTGTGTACTCTAGCCTGGGCAATACAGCAAAACTCCATCTCAAAAAAAAAAAAAAATTCATGACAAAGTTCTTTTGGACCCCAGTCGTTATGTTTGGGCAGGAAATCCGTGCAAGGGCCTGTGCTTGGTAACAGCTCTTCAAGAATGGGTTTCCCCCTCTTCCCTGCTCAATGTTAAGATAACTGTCCTGGGAGTCGTGACATGGGGTGATTAATTTCTGACTCACTCTTGCACTGAATGTATGGTTCTTTGGGATTTCAACTTCATGAGAGTCTGGTCTTCTACTGGGCTCTGGATCTTAGATCAGCATGGGTATTTTTCTTCTGAAAACCGTAGCGCAATTTCTAGTTTAGAGGAATTACCTCAGAACAAAACTGGCCTCTGAACTATCTTAGATCTTAGATCTTGGAGTCCTTGCCTTTAGGCATGTTTTGACCTGATACTTTTGTTACTTGTCAGCCCTGTAGTTCTTTTTAAAAGGAGATTTTTGTCTTTTATCTGGCATTTTGGTGGTTTTCAGAAGGATGATTCATCTGAGTTACATAGTTTGCACTGTTACTGGAAACAACTCAATTATTACTTTTCTGTATTGCTTTATATTTACATTGTTACCTGTTTATATGTAATGATTTTTTTGCTACTAATAGTTTATATTTCTTTTTAAGATCGTTTTTATGTTTTCTAAGATGTCTGAGATGACAAAAAAGGATTTGTCACCCTGAAATTCCTACATATGAATGAATTTGAACTTTTTTCTGTTTGTTAAGAAGTGTGGTGAACTGCTTTTGGTATTTCTATGACAGATTATGGCTTGTTAACAACACCCCAGTTGCACTACATGGTGTATTGTCGAAACACGGGTAGCCGATATGGAAAGGCAACCTTAGAAGGTTACTACCAGAAACTCTCTAAGGCTTTCATGGAACTCATCAAACAGGTGAAAATTCTCTTGAATATGGTTAGAGTTAAAACAAATGAATAAAGTAACACAGTCTGTTGAACACATTATCTTTAAGTTTGTCATGCCTCCTCCTTCTTTTTCCAAAAATGCTGCGTATTTCTTTGTTTTGTTTTTTCCTTTAGGGCCACACAAGTTTCTGGTCTATGTATCCTGCTAACTTACGTTGGCGTTTACTTGGGAAAGCACATAGTACATTCTGAGATCTTTTGGGGAAGAAAACATGGTGGGGGTCTTGATTATGGTTATCATATTTATTCAGATGAATTTGATCTTAGTTAATGTAGGTGCTGTTGGCTCAGTACCTGAGGCATCTACTGTTGAGAGATTTGAGAAGTATAATTCTTTTGATCAACAAATGTTGAGTGTATGTCCTTACCAGGGACAATTAACTAAAAGCCCTTGTTCTCATAGAACTTCTAATTTAGGGTGAGGATAGCTGGGAGAGGAGACAATTAGAAAAAAACCAAATATGCGTGATGATGATGTCACATACTATAAAAAGAATGACATCATTACTGCTTGTCTTTGTGCATATTCTTACATTTGAATGTCTGCCTTGTAATATTACTTTTTTTTTTTTTTTTTTTTGAGACGGAGTTTCGCTCTTGTTACCCAGGCTGGAGTGCAATGGCGCGATCTTGGCTCATCGCAACCTCCGCCTCCTGGGTTCAGGCAATTCTCCTGCCTCAGCCTCCTGAGTAGCTGGGATTACAGGCACGTGCCACCATGCCCAGCTAATTTTTTGTATTTTTAGTAGAGACGGGGTTTCACCATGTTGACCAGGATGGTCTCGATCTCTTGACCTCGTGATCCACCCGCCTCGGCCTCCCACAGTGCTGGGATTACAGGCTTGAGCCACCGAACCCGGCCGTAATATTACTTTTAAGAGACCCTATTGAGACTAAATTCTAATAAAGTTCTATTTCTGTAAGTTGTTCAATCAGCGAAACTGTTCTGTTGTTCCAGGTGTTTTTAGATTTTAGTGTTTAATAATTATAAAAATTGCTAAAATTAAAAAAATTATAATTGATAAAATTTAAAAATTAAAATAGATGAGTTAACTGGATATTTACATAGGCACATATGTATATATGCTTTATATTTCACTTTTATTTTTGTAACTTGAAATTTTTCTTCCATGTGTCTTTTTCCTTTGTAGGCTTCCTGCAGTGGAGATGAATACAGATCACTTAAGGTCGACTGTGCAAATGGCATAGGGGCCCTGAAGCTAAGGGAAATGGAACACTACTTCTCACAGGGCCTGTCAGTTCAGCTGTTTAATGATGGGTCTAAGGGAAAACTCAATCATTTATGTGGAGCTGACTTTGTGAAAAGTCATCAAAAACCTCCACAGGGTATGTCATACTAGCACGGTAACAATTTGTTTTTAATGCTCTTTGAAGCCAATCTCACTTATAAACTAAGGTGGTAAAGTGAGTTAAGAATCATGCAGCTAGTCCTGGCTAGGTCACATTTAGACACTGAGAAATCTTTCCACTCTCAGAGCCATTGAAACATGGTCTGCTCTCTCTGTCTGTAAATCACACCACTCCTCATAGTCTACAGGAAATCAGGTGGGGAAAGCAAAGTCAGGAAGTGGCATTCTAGAACAGTGGTTCTCAAACTGGCATGTGTCAGAATCACTTTGAGGACTTGTTAGCACACAGATTCCTGGGCTCCACTTCTGCATTTCTAGAGGTCTGGCATAGGATTTGCATATGATAGAAATTTGCATTTCTATCAGGTTTGCATGCTTTGTTCACAGTGCTTGTCTGGGGATCCCTTTTTGAGAATCACAGCTCTAGAGGGTAGCATAGTAAGTATTATTAGATATACTATGGAAAGTGAATGTAACTCTGCTTATACAATTTTCAGCAGTCAGTGTTTTCCACTGAGTGTAGATTAGGAGGAAGGCCTTTCTTAAGATTTTAGTTGTAGTAGAGGTGTTCTGGATTTATCTGCATTATAGACCCTAAATTATTCACCTAAGCCAAACCCAGCTTGCAGATATGTTTTGTTTGGCCCACTGCATTTGTGTGTGTGTCTGTGTGCCAGTGTTTAAAAATTCTGTGACTTCTCTTATATATTGAAATCTCTAGCATCTCTTTACCAAAATGAGAAAATGGTCACACACGGCATTAGTCCACTACAATCAGATAGGCGCTGCCCCGCTTAAATAGGATATGCATTCTAGAACTCTACAGACTTCATCATCCAGTTGCCTCATTCATTCATGTTATTATGCCTTACTTAGTAAGCATTTAAAATGTCAGTGTAATCAACCAATCTGAGCTCCTTTTTGTTGAATTGCTTGTTTTGACATTTACTTGACTGTTTAGTTCTGTCACTTACTTATGCATTCATTAAATACTGAGCTCTAACTCTGTATGCTGTAGGCATTGGGACTACAATATGAACAAAACCATAGCCCTTGCTTTCCTGAAGCTTGCATTGTGTCCTTTAGTCAATCTTATGATCCCACTCCTGACAAAAGCCTTTTTACTTCTTAGTTGCGTCATGTTGGATTTGTCAGTCTGCTGTGGTCATGGCTAAGGAAGAGCCAAATTTTCTAATAAATTTGATGCGACGATTGCTGAAATTTCAGCAACTTTATATAAATTTCCAAGCCATTTATCTCTCAAAGTTAAAATTCTTTGCTGCTTGTTATTGGTGGTATGAACAAATAAAAATCACTTCTGTTAGAATTAAAGCATGTAACTCATCTACTGCTGATCATTTTTTCTATGTAAAGATCATGGTACTAGGTAAATGACATTCAGAAATACATGTAGCTTTAAAAAAAACTTTACGGGACACCTGTCTTGCCAAACCAACCAGCTTGTAAAGTGGAATTTTATGGTAGTATTATAGCAAGTTTCAGCATAAATAGATTTTGAATGCTGCTTTTTTCACTTTGCAGTGAATGAATTTGACCTGTAAAAACCACTAATCAACTATGTACTATTTAAAGATTAAGACACTGATTTTTAGGAGGATAATTTTAAGAGAATATTCTAAAACTCTTTATAATAAATTCGTAGACTGAAATGCATGTTAAATTATCCTCTGTGCTAGGAATGGAAATTAAGTCCAATGAAAGATGCTGTTCTTTTGATGGAGATGCAGACAGAATTGTTTATTACTACCATGATGCAGATGGCCATTTTCATCTCATAGATGGAGACAAGATAGCAACGTTAATTAGCAGTTTCCTTAAAGAGCTCCTGGTGGAGGTATGGTGGGGTATTGCTACCCTCTGAAACAAGACTTACTAGTGAAATAGTTCCATATTTTACAGTCATTTGTCAGAAAGGCATAATTTGTGACAAGTTTCTTACGTTAGTGGCCAGAAAATTAAAAAAAGAGCAATGGTAATTCCAGTCATTTGAACACTTGAGGCATTGGCTTTGGAACCTGAAGGTACTCTTTTCTTCCTTATACTGGCCAAGTATTGTGATTTGAAGCTGTAGGAAGTTTTGCTTCCTTCATAATTGAAACTTTAATGAGAGTTCTGTGGTCACTCCCTGAAGCCCTAAATTCTAATAGGAAATCTCGTCAACTGAGAGAGATATTAACTATAAGTTTACTAATGTGAGATTTGTTTCACTTTGCTTTTTAGAAATCTCTTTCAGGCAAGCTTTAAGTATAGGAAAATTATTATAATCTGGAGAATGTGTACTTTAAGAATTCAATAAATAACTTTTTTTTTTTTTTTTTTTTGAGAGGGAGTATTGCTCTGTCACCCAAGCTGGAGTGCAGGGGCACAATCTTGGCTCACTGCAGCGTCTGCCTCCTGAGCTCAAGCAGCT